CCCCAAAACCCCAAAACCCCAAAACCCCAAAACCCCAGTTTACTAATTAACAATTGAACCGGTCTTTTAGACAAAATTTGAGATTTGAGACTAGGATCTCTAGCCCCTAATTCTCAGCTTTTGAGGAGATCTGAGTGAGGATGTTCTTGAAGTTAGACTTTCTCTTAATCTTGCTCCTCAACTTTTTCTTAATGAATAATTTGTTACAATCGTAATCATTTTCCTTGTTATGGTCAATATTGACATCAACTAAGGAGGTGATCTAGGAGGCTTACTCTTGAGCTTCTCCACAAAAGCAGAGCTGAGGAAGGAGCTCTTCCGCTTCGCGGAACACTTTGTTGGGCTATTTTTGCTCGATTTTAAACTGCTTCCTATGATCTTGTATTTCGATTTAAGTCCTTCAAGAAGAACCTTGCGTGACTGGAAGTCTATACATTATTCTAGTGTGATACCGTCATAAGACTGCTCATTATTTTGAATGATGTTTTCCTTATCTTCAAAGGCTGATACCACATCAATGTTGGCTTGGCGACTGCTTCTTTTAATTTTGAGGCCCTTTTGTCTATGCTTTCCAAGACATCCAAGGTTTATTGATGACTTTGAAATCACTGAGACTTCTGTCTGTATCGAGCTAGAGTTAGCAGCCCTCTCAGTTTCAATATTGTAATGAATGTTCTTATTGAAGATACTTTTTGACTGATTTGCTACCTTGTCGTAATATTTATTTTGGCAGGTACTGCTATCAGCCTTCGGCTTAATTGAAATATTTGAGGAATAGGAGGTCATCTTATTGCCTCCACGGACAATCGAGCTAGTCAGAGAGATATCATTCCTACAAGGTTAGAGAGCTGATACTTTATCTTGGCAATCACACTGTTATCCAGATCTGAGTCAATTATGGACATACTTTTCCTGTTGCTAAACAGTCATTTTGAGGTTCCTTTGCAGTTTGAATAATCTTTTGTCCCAGATCCTGATATTTCAAGGTCGAACTGAGACCTGAAAGAATCTTGCATTTTTAGAGGGTTTATTTCTACGACTTAGCTTGGAAAATACCTTGGAAACTTTTTCGATGAGCTCTCATTTCCTGTTGCTTTTTGTTTAGTCTTTCTCCAAAGCTAGGCCTATCACGATACGACTAGAGTATTGGTGGAGGGCTTACTCTTTGTCCTGAGTCTGACTTCTGATTGTCTTGATAACTATTACCTGCTAGTGATCATATCAATCCTAAAGGTTATTTCCTTATTACTTCTGGTTTCTGCTTGTGATTGTTCACCTTCTTGTAGCCCGAAACCTTCCAGATGGAATATGCTTCCGTGAATTCTTCGTCGTGATGTCATAATCAGTATTTAAGTCAATGCTCCTCCCAAGGGAGGTGTCCACCCTCATTTGGGATTCTTTAAGATCTTTCTGAATTCTGGAGATTGAACTCTCTTCGTCTTTTTCTAGTCTGCTATTCTTGCTCCTAAATTCTTTACTAATTCTAACTGGGGAGCCCTTACCTTTCTCTGGAGAATCTGAAGATAGACTTGTTCTCTTTGTATCGATGAGTGAGTTCAGAGTGGGCATTTCCAAAAGAAGCGTCTCTTCTTTGGAAGAGACGCCTCTCAAAGATGCTTTTGTTAGCATTCTTATCTGACTGTTTGCCTTTCTTTCAGTGCTTCTTGCTGTACTGCATGGAGTATTTATGGTTCCTGTAGAGTTCAAGGACTAGAGAAATGAGGAAGGAAAGCAAACCATGTTCTATGTCTCGTTTAGAGATCTGGAAGAGCTCTTCCCAACCTTCTTCATAGATTGGGTACAGTCCGTAGTTCTTCCTGGCCAGCATTACTGCTGCTACTGCTTGAGTCTTGTAATCCTTGGTTTGAGCCTGAGTGAGGTAGAGGATTTTATTAGTAATTTTGTAGCATTCTTGGATGTACTTTTCAAGATCTTTCTCAGGAATTTCGTTGCCAGTGCCTTTGAAGTATCCTATTTTAAGAATTTAAAGGAATTCAGCAGTAAAAAGGGCTTTAGGCTTACTCATTAGGTCTACAAAGATTACAGGGGGTTCAGTGACCAAATTCCAATTTAGTATATTGCAGATGACTCTTTCGCAATTAACTATCATTTTTCTGGGGAAATTAGCTCGACTTGATACTTTTATGAAGGCTTTTATTGTTATTCAATTGTGCTCTGGCTCTGAGAATTTGGATGATATGAGCAATAAGGTTTGCCCCCAAAGGTATTTCTCCTTTTGTATCACTTTTACACTAGAAAGAGTCCCATTAACTTTAATTTACTTTGATAGATAAAGCTTAATACGAAAATAGATCATCTTGGAAGTCATAATAAATTTTTCGAAGAATACATGAAAGCGATTTATTTGTTCAGCTTTATTAAAGGTCAATAATCCTTACCATGAGACAGTATTGGCCACAATCCGGTCAAATAAGGCAATTGCTGACTGTTTTGTCTCCATCTTCTGCTTCAGCTTGTTTCCAAGATAGTTGATCCAATCAAATATGAACCTTCTGAGGCATCTGATTGGCTTCTTATGTACATCTTCTTCCTTATAGACCACATTTCCAATGTTTTGTCTGGTAGAAAGCATGTGCAAATCATCTTCAATAGCGAGGCCCTATAGAGGTCACTCTAAAGTCCTTCTGAGGCTTACCTGATGAGGAATGGTGTTTCCAAATGTACCGGTCGACTTCTCCCATGCTTCATAGTTTTCATAATAGTTGCTCATTTTTAAATTTTCAATTGTCAACAACTCTTGGGGTTTTGGGGTTTTGGGGTTTTGGGGTTTTGGGGTTTTGGGG